GACAGATATATCTTCACTCGCATGAGCACAAACCACATGTACAAACAGTAATCCTAGATACGACGACGACCGACCTCACGCCTAAGATCAGATAAATCCTGTTTAGGCACTATTGGGGACATCAGGATATTGCCAAAATTAAGAGAAACAAGAGAAATATTAATTATCTTGCCCTGATCTAGATCCGTGCAGTTATAAGGCTACCCTAGAACATCAAAATATAAATCCATTGAATTGTCGTAGGAATCATTGGTCCCAAACTCCCAATTAACAAAGGAGCACCAAAGAGGTCCTAATCTTTGGGCGTGTTTAGCTGGTGAAATGAAATTTTTTAGATGTCATATCGGATGTTTGAGCGGATGTCGGAAGGGGTTTTTGACACGAATGAAAAAACTAATTTGATAACTCGCCTGGAAACCGCGAGACGAATCTTTCGAGCCTAATTAATCCGTCATTAGTACATGTGGGTTACTGTAGCACTTATGGCTAATTATGGACTAATTAGGCTCAAAAGATTCGTCTCGCGATTTACATACAAACTGTGCAATTAGTTTTTTGTTTTATCTATATTAATGCTCCATACATGTGTCCAAAGATTCGATGTGATGTTTTTAGAAAAAGTTTTTAGGAACTAAACAGGGCCTTTGTCGTCGCACATCCAATGATTTAAAATAACATATTTTCTTCTCAAATTTATATCGAGTGTAATATAGCAAATCCGTTAGTTTTATGGCTAGCTAGTCTCGTGGATGGCTAGGAGATCTCACCGTCAGCTAGATCCAAGGGTGCACGCACGCACGCGCGCGTGCTGCGACGGCGACGAGAGGCGCATCTGATCTGCTCGCGAACTTTCTCTAGTTGTAGCTAGGGGAAGGCAGGCAGGCAGAGTCCGTGCGTGTGCAGTGGCGGCGGGTCCCGCGTGTCGCCGTGCAACGCAGCGTGGGCGCGTGGGCGGTGCCGCATGCCGCAGGGCCAGGAGTTACGCCGTTGCTCACCCCGTGTCCAGTGGTCCACACGAGAGGTACGAGAGCCTAGAAACATATATAACTTTCTCCGTCGCAAAATAACTTCATTAGTACAAGCTTTTCTTCTGATTTGCGTTCCAGCATTGTTGCTGGATGACCGATCTTTTGTAAAAGCATGGCATTGATAGCTACTTGGCCTGTCGCTTGTGGGCTCAGGAGCTTGAAAACGGCGAGCCACGTCACCCTCGATCGTGTGTTCGTATGCTAAGTCTGGTACCATTTCCTGTCTTCCTGGTTGGCTTGGGTTCGCCCCTCCCGTGGTTGCTCTCTTCAGGTCTGGTGGCCATCTGCTAGGGCCTTCGACTCTCTAGTCCTGGTATCCTGGTAGCTGTAGAAGGAACGAAACATCAGGGTTTTCGATTCATTCCTTTCGTTGATCTCGGTGATTCTAGAGTCCATCCTTTAGAAGGGTCGTTTCTGGTCTTTAGCTAGTGCCACTTTGTTTGAGAACTTGTTGGAAGCATAGGGGTTCCCCACCATCTCTCTCCCTCTATATAGGAACAGCAGCTTTCGCTTTTCTTTCTTTCTTTTTTTTACCTCTTGCGGTCTTTTTTCATGTAACTCAACAATGACTTATGTTTGGTCTGTTATGTTACGTTGTGGAACTAAAAATTATATCTTTTTCTAATATACTGACGCGTATTTTTTTACGCGTTCACGAAAAAGAAAGAAACACAAATCGAAACAAGCTTGATTTTATTTAAATTGATTGTTCTGGGATAAATCATAACGATTGTAAGCTAAATTATTTTGTAACGGGGGAGCACGCACTAGCTGCATGCATGCAGCGTGGCCGAGCTAGCTTTGCTAGCACGTACGTGTGGCTCGTGATGCTGCTACTGTGATATATGCCTCGCTCTCACGAGGCAGCCATCGCGCGCCGCCGGCGTCAACCCGACCTGACATGTACTAGTTGTATGCTGCTGCTGCTTGCCTGTGCCGACTGTTCTAGTATATGCCAGGCAGCTGGCAACTGCAACTCCCTTGACTTGGCTGCAGTATGATATAATTCGACGTCAGATGAGGGATTGCGGGTGTCTCTTCTGTGTGTGCATGTGAATTGTGATCCATTGTTCTCGACGAGATCGACCAATGCCGGCCTGCTGCTTCGACGATCACGACGGAATACCTGCATGTATTCTCCTGGAGTACGTTTCAAAAAAGTATAGTTTTGCACGGTTTATATCTAACGGCGGATCGTTCGTCTTATTTAAAAAAATTTTATGATTAATATTTTTATTGTGATTAGATGATAAAACATGAATAGAAATTTATGTGTGACTATTTTTTAAATATTTTTATAATTTTTCTAAATAAAACGGACGGTCAAACGTTGGACACAGAAACTCACGGCTGCATTTACCTTTGGACGGAGGTAGTACTACTGTTGTACCTATACATGATTCTATCAAGAACTAATCATTCTCGGGCGCACTAGGGATTCAGATCGGCCGCCTGGGCGAAGAAGCTTTCTTCTCCGAGGCTCCGTCGACTAAACACACTCGCCCAACACAGTACAGTGGTCTGATCTACTCGAGAGCAGAGCTAACATGAGCCTGTTTGGATGACACCATCGATCGATCACTTCGCCACAAAATATTTAGCAAAATGTAGCATGCCACACACTTTGTAGCCAATAAAATTGTTAACCACAACATCAACAAGTTGTGCTGGCCACAAGTTATATAACTCGGGTAGTATTGACTAGTGAGGTAAAATTAATGTAATAGTACTACCAGTAAATAGAGAGTGAAATGAATGCTCATGCTCGTACAGATCCTAGCAACAAATGCTGCTATATGTACGATCTGAATATGCACGCTTCTTTCTAACGATACCTCCGTGTGGTCACTGGTTGGGTAAATTTCCTGTGCCTATTTATGTGAAACGCTTCAATGCAGCCGGACGCCGACATGTGGATGCAGATGAGATGGATCGAAATGTCAATGCACCAGATCGATCAGGAGCTCCTCGCTGCATCCACTATACTAAGGGTGTATACTAAGGGTGTGTTTAGTTCATACCAAAATTGAAAGTTTGGTTGAAATTGAAATGATGTGATGAAAAAGTTAGAAGTTTATGTGTGTAGAAAAGTTTTGATGTGATAAAAAAGTTTGAAGTTTGAAGAAAAATTTCTAGAACTAAAGCCCGTGTTTAGTTCATACCAAAATTAGAAGTTTGGTGTAAATTTGGAACAATGTAACGAAAAAGTTGAAAATTTATGTGTGTAGGAAAGTTTTGATGTGATGGAAAAATTGAAAGTTCGAAGAAAAACTTTGGAACTAAACACGACGTAAATACTACTACTAAAGGAACATAAGTAGCAGCAATACAGAGTACAGTTACACAGCTTCTACATCGCAGCATTTACGTGTCCCAGGTGACGCTCCAGATAAGCATTGAAAAGAAGAGGCGCCGGCGCTACACAAATTTTGACAATTTGATTCTTTGAAAAAACTAATTTTACAAATGAATCGTCGCCAAAACTTATTTGAAAATGACCTTTTTTTTTCAACGCCAAATCATGTGGCACTGAATTTAGACGCCTCAGCGCCACGTCAACTGACGCTGAATACCGTGTCACCACAGATGGGAGGTTAAGTTAGCATGTTATCATACATTCAGCGTCATGCTATTTGACGCTGAACAAAAGGTCAAAATAAGTTTTGGCAGTGATTATTTGTAAAAATAGTTTTTGCGAAGTGTCAAATTGTCTAAATTTGTGTTGGCGCTAGCTACACCCAGAAATTATTACCCAGAAAGGGCATATCTACGTTACTTTGTTCGTCCTAAAATAAAATTAATTTTTTTTGTCATTGAGTATGCACATAACAGAACTATGGGCACATTTGAGTATGCAAATCAAGAACATACAACAGTATGCGTGACAAGGCATCGCGATTCACGAGCCATCCGCGGAATTCATTTCGATCATAAGGCTAAACTACATAGTCTCATGTACTGTAGTAAACAAGAGCTGAGCATGCCTCATGTATATCTTCTGCGCAAGAACGGCGAAAAGATCAGAGTTCATTGATGTATTCTTCTTTTTTAGAAGCTCCTCGTCTGCTAACCGTGAAGCTGACATGAGATTGGGTCCATTGATATATTCTTCTTTTGTTGGAAGCTCCTCGTCTGCTAACCATGAAGCTGACATGAGATTAAAAGCAAGGTATTACTACTACTCCAATGGAGAAACCAGAAATGATTCAATTCGCTAGACATATGGGGGAGAGCGACCCGGCAGAGAGCAACATGCAGGTGAGTGGTGAGTAGTGGCTATCAAAAAACCTGCTGAAAATGGCCCGGTTGTCTGTCGGGAGAAGAAAGATTGTGCACCCGTAGGCGTTATCTCAAATTCTCAACTCGACAAAGGCCGTGTTTAGTTGTTTTGATAAAAAAAAATTGACGTATACGGACACACATTTGAAGTATTAAACGTAAACTAATAACAAAACAAATTACAGATTCCGCCAGTACAATGCGAGTCGAATCTATTAAGTCTAATTAATCTGTCATTAGGAAATGTTTACTGTAGCACAACATTATCAAATTATGGCGTATTTAGGCTCAAAAGATTCGTCTAGCAATTTACATGCAAACTGTGCAATTGGTTTTTTTTCGTCCACATTTAATGCTACATGCATGTGTCCAAATATTTGATGTGATGAAAAAGTTGTAAGTTTGAAGGGAACCGAACACAGCCAAAACTGTGATTTGCTGAACTTGCATACTAGTCAGATAGCATCTGGCGCCTCTGGATTGGGCAGCAGGATAGGCAAATTAATCAATCAATCAAATCATCAGCAACAGTTCATTTCGGTATAGTATTCCACAAAAGAAAATTAAGGTCAGTTCATGGGCCATACTAACTTGGTTAGAAGTGGACGTTGCACTGTGCCTTGATACTCCCATGCAGGCCCAAGTACATACAGTTCAGAATTCAGAAACATAGCCCACATGAAAAATCAGCTGTACAACGCGAAATACCCAGATGGGTAACAGCTCACAGATTAACCCAGCTTACAAGCTGCAAAGCTCAGGCCAATAACATCTGTTATAACAAGCAAACTACACTTACTTCCATGAGTGGGCATGACTATGTTACTAACACGGCAAATGCAAAGTTCCAGTCCACTACAAGTCTGAAACCAGAAGATCAGTCCAGGCGACTTCGACTGGTGCACAAATAGCCTATAACAGTATATATCCATGTCCATCGTTTTAGGTCATTGATTGTAATAGCTGATTGCCGACAGAATTGATAATATTAAGTAATGGTTCAAGTTCTCCCATTGCCCAAGATACTAGCATATCAGCATCACAAGTGACACAGACAGTAATACACAGTACCAGAAAAGATAAGAACAAGGTTATATGTCATCCATTGTCAAGGAGAGGACCGTTCAGAAGGAGTACCAAGTCCTTTTAGGAGACAGTGACACCATCGAGTTCTGCTTGAGCTACTGCTGCACCGATTGCATCGATCACCTCCATCTTGCCCTTCGTCACTGCTTCATCCATAGGGGTTTTCTCATGGCTGCAGAAACATCAAAACTTTCATTCATAAACAAACTCATTTTTAACGAATGTCTAAAGACAGGGTACAGACAATTCTAACTCATTACTAACTAAATGGCTGCAGAAATACCAAATCATTGCTTAAACAAACTCATTACAGATGAAAGTCTAATACTAGGTCCATGCAATTCTATTTTGCTGATACATCATTGCTTGTTCAGATGCGGTCATTTACATTTCACATACCTGTTCAGTGCACTGACACTAGCCCCAGCGCATATCAACGCTTTAATTACCTGAGAAAGTTATTTTCACAAGCAGAGGTGCCATCAGCTATTTATTTCAGTGCAAGAAAAATCAAAAGATGGCTATAGCAGAGGGCAACACAAATACCTCGATATGTCCATTGAGGCATGCCCAATGGAGGGGTGTGTTCTTCTCTGAGTTTGTAGCATTAACATTCTGTATATCAAACACACATTCATAAACTGCCCTTCTCGCTATAACATGAACTGATGCCCAATACAGGAAAAACACTATGAAATACTAGTAATTTTCTTACCGCTCCATTTTGGATCAAGTACTGCACCACAGCGAGATGTCCATTGGCAGAGGCCATATGAAGTGCTGACAGAAATAGGAAAAATGGTTAGGTAGCTGCTGATCGAATAATTAGTCAACATTCTACAAGGAAGTTTGCATGATTAAACAGCAGATCACTCAGGGTGCTTAGGTCCTTCCAATAAACTAGAAAACTAATCAGTTTTCAGATATATTAGCGCATACAGTTGAATTTATGATATATGCAGCTAAACATGTAGTAAGACAATTGAAACAGCAAAGGGAAAATGATAGCTATATCACTCTCCATAGTTAGTCATCTACAAGACAAATAAAAAGACACATAGACTCATTATTCATCCGCCCCCCAATCATGGAGCTACCTCTACTCTGCTTCAATTAAAAGTCATGGTAAATATTCAGTTATATCCAAGTACCATGCAACATCTCTATAGCATATTCCAACATCATACTAGCATGTCGAGACCAATAATTATAACAAAAGGCTAAGATCAATCCAGGCAGCATGAGAGTTCGGGGAACCAAACCAACCCGTTCGTCCTTGCGAATCCGCGGAGTCTAGGGAAACACCGGCGGTGAACAGCGCGACGACGTCCTCCAGGTCATCGTACCTAGCGGCCTGCACGAGAAGCGACACGGCGGCGCGCGATTAACCCAAGCGAAGAAGCATCCATCTCAGTACTACACACTACAGCAACGCGTAAGGAGCTGAAAGGGGAGCAGAAGCCGGCCGGCGAGGAGGCCGCGTGGGAGGGTTCAGGGCTTACGTCGATGAGATCCTGCGCCTGCTCGGCGGTCGCCGCCGCCGCCGTTGGTTGCTCCGATTCCGCGCCCATCGCCGCCGCCGCCGCCGCCTGGAGCTGAGGAGATGTGTAGAACTGCGGTTTGGCTGTCCCTACATGTCAGTACCAAGCGGGTATTTGGGCTAGTGGGCCGGCCCAGTTCAGTATGTGGGCTTTAATTAGGCTGGACCCGAAAGATTCCAGGCTTTCTTGAGAACATTTTCCTTTTTGCTTTTCATTTAGCCCTGCTTGGAATCTTGGATGAATGAAGATTAAGAAATGAAAATTAGACCAAAGTTAAGCGCAATTTTTCTGAGAATCATGGATAGACTGGCTCAACTAAAACCTCTGCAAGAACTTAAAAACAACTCTTGAATGTAAGAATGTTGCCTATATAACTATACAAGCATGTCTAAAGAGTAGAGATGTCAATATTTTCATGCCAAAAGATGTTATTTTCCCTTCATAGCAATCTTTCAAAACAGTTGGTGCATAGACCCAAAGTTATAACACTTCCATTACCTAAAACGTAAATTGTGGCTCTTGACTTTCAAAAAAAGGGTGCAATAAAACACCTTTCAATATACATGGGATTTTCTCGAACTCATTTGTCAACCCATGATCTAACCCTGCATTAACTCCTGAATATTTCTTTTGAACTTTATTACTATATGGACAGCTTCGTCAGAGGCAAGAACAGAATTTCAAATTAAATTACTACAAGTGTTGTGACAGTTTACAAGTCTCAGCTGACCTGCCAAAACAAGCTAGTGCATACCTGGATTAGGATCTCTCTCTAGACATAACAATATACTAACATGCATGCATGTCACATAGAGGACTTGTTCAAAATACGCTTTTGTTTATAATTTACTGGTTAATTAGCAAGCTGCGCACCACAGGCGCCGCAATTTTTCTATGAAATTATTCTTCTGCAGTTGGAGAGAGATCGATAATGTCGTCGACAAAGTCTCACGTCGTCACTACGCAGCGCATTTTCTGCGCAATGTAATGCCTGCATGACCATGGGACTTGCCTGCAGGGCTTACCAAACAGTCGAAAGCCGCAGGACTAGCTCGAAAACACAAACCTCTTGGTTTTTAAAGTTTGGTCTGAGATGAAATTGGTCCTGGTCCATAAAACGAAAGGTAAGTTTTGAAAAAAAAAATAAAGCAAGCTAGATTTTCTATATTCGATAAAATTTGATAGGATTTTATCGTTAACTTTCAAATGGTTTTCACGAAAACCGAGGAAACCGCTGACCTTCGTTTTTTTTTTTTGGTTTGAAAACCGTTTGGTGAACCTTGCTTGCATGCACCTTTGCAGATGCTATGTAAATGTACTATATTTTAGGATTAGGAGTATGTGTCTAGCTTGAAGATGCTATGTGTTGTTCTACTTTAATTAATATGTAAATGTTGTAAGCAGTGCGAAATGAAGAGTAAGTCTGTCGTGGCGAATTCCATTTAATAATAGAGAAATGATTCAATTGGTTAGATTAGGATCCGGTCATGGGACAATCGAGAGGAGGATTGGAGGAAGATGTCAAACACAACAGCAGCAAGAGTACTTGCCCAAAACGTCGTCGCCACTGACGTATCTTTCACTGAATTTATAGCAAGGCATTTCATAATGCTTAGGTGCATAGTTATACTACTAGTATAAATTATTGCGCACGTTATAATAGTAAAATAATACAATTTGGTCTCAGAAATGATACACATCTCTCGACTGCTGCAGTGCTGCGACGACTGATCAGTAGATCCGTATTGGAGTGGAGCCTGCAGAGTACGCGGCTGACCCAGCTTGATCCTGCTGAAACCTTCCTTCCAAGTTTCACCCTTAGCTTGATCCTGCGAAAACAATAGGCAGTTGACAGAACCAGTTCATCTCTGAAAAGTAGAAACCCACCCGATCCAGAGGAATTTTCACAATCTCACCGTTTGAACTACTAATAACGACTCTAACTACCAGCCACCAGCTTCCGTGCACTTTTTGTCGTAATAAGTGTCGATCTAATTTGAATTTTGGCCGTGTTTAGTTGTTTTGATAAAAAAAAAGTAACATATACGGACACACATTTGAAGTATTAAACGTAGACTAATAACAAAACAAATTACATATTCCGCCTGTAAACTGCGAGACGAATCTATTAAGGCTAATTAATCCGTCATTAGCAAATGTTTACTGTAGCACCACATTGTCAAATCATGGCGTAATTAGGCTTAAAAGATTCGTCTCGCAATTTACATACAAACTGTGCAATTAATTTTTTTTCGTCCACATTTAATGCTCCATGCATATGTCAAACATTTGATATGACGGAAAAGTTGAAAGTTTGAAGGGGTGACATATCGTACACTGATTTATCCCATCATTTTTTAAAACTACTCAAAAGAAATAGAGGGCTGCTACAAAACGGGATCCCGTTGCAATGGGATAGGTATATTAACTATTCTCTTTCACGAGTATCATATGTGTCAGATCCTAGGTATCACATGTACCGGGTAACAGGTATCACAGGTATCGGATACCATGCAGCTGGTACCACGACAGGTATCAGGTATCCATAGAAGGGTATCCCTGGAACGGGATACCGTTGTCTAGGTTTTTTTGGAAGAAATATATCAAAAAAAAAGAGAAGTTTTCCAGCATGTACGTGTAAGGTGTAACATGTGAGATCAATCGATCGCTAGCTAGAATCAGGCCAGTATACCCCCGTTGCCTTGCCGACTAGGTTACGTCGCCCCCTGCTAGCACGATCTCCACCACAATCTCGTCCTCTCACTCACCCACGCACACATGCTGCGCCCTCACCGCCACGGCAAACTGCACCAGCACAGATGCAGCCGCGCCGCCCGCCCGCCCGCCCGTGCCGCCCCCGCGCGCGATACGCGACGCGCCTGCAGCGACCACCACCAAAACTGCCCAAAAAAACGCCCAAGTTGCGCGAGATTTCACTGTATCCCGTCGTGTCCCCGCGTGAACCGTTCCACCGGCGAATCGCGCGCGCGCTAGTCGAACAAACGCCCGCGGACTTTTGACCACCGACGCGATGTCAACCTCGCGCGCGCCTCGCACGGATCGGCTCGCGGCTCGTACATGTACATGCATGTCAACCCCTTCGTGCTCCGCAATATATAGTAACGCTAAGCTCGTGTTGGTTGCTGGGACTAGCTAGACATGGCGATGGGGAAGAATGGGTTGCTGGGGTGGCTGTGCGTCGTCGTGCCGGGGCGGCGGCGGCGGCGGCGAGGGGCGCGGCTGGTGCTGTGGGGAGGGGAGAGGCGGGCGGCGGCGGCCGGGAGGATGGCCGGGGAGGTGATGATGGAGCACGCGGGGCGCCTCGTGGTGTGCCGCGCCGACGGGTTCTGCCTCGGCCGCGCGGCCCCCGTGCTCGCCATCGAGGACCGCCTCGACGCTTGCGCCACCTACCTCGTCCTCCCCGTCGACCGCCTCCCCCAGGGCCGCGACGTCGTCACCGCCGCCTCGCTCGCCGCGCTCACCTACGACAGGGCCGCCGGCGCCCCGCTGCTGGCCGGTGGCGCGAAGAGCCCGTTCGAGTACGTCAAGGACGACGGCGGACGGACGGTGATCAAGGTCACGGAGGAGTTCATCGTCAAGGCCGTCACGGGGAGGCGGCCACCGGCTGGCGGCGGCGGCGAGGGGGAGGACGCGCATGGGGCGGCGGCGCTGTGCAGCACGCCGGAGCTGAGGAAGCACTACGAGCAGCTGGTGGGCGCGGCGAGGGGGCGGCCGTGGTCGCCGCGGCTGGAGACGATCAAGGAGCGGAATGGGCGGCGGAGGGTGGTCGACGTCGTCGTCAGCCCCACCGGCAGGCTGTCTCCGGTGAGGTTGCTCGGGTTGGACAAGGGAATCAAGTAGACATGCATGAAAATTTTCGTCTAATCCTCTCTTCTAATTGGCTGCTGCTAGTTTTGCTTTGAAGATTGAAGCGATTTTTGGTTGGAAATTTGGATTAGATGTACATATGTTTTGGATGGGTATCTCTTGTTTGTTTCTACAAGAATTTTGTACATCCAGACCGATCTCTGTTTGTAAGTAAGGTAAATGATTTACCGTCAAATGGCAAACAGATTGCATGAACTAGCACGTCTTGTGTACATCTTCTGACAATATATGCTAATTGACATGAGCTGAAGTTGTTACAAAATTTGAATTTATCTTATTTTGGCGTGCAACTCAAAACTTATTGGGACTTTTGCATGGGGTTGTTCCATTTTGACAAGTTTTCCGATTAGCTTCTTTTGTTGGATTTTCATGTCAAAGTTGCCAAGCAAGTTTGTACTGCTCACTTCCTTTCATTTTTTTAAAAAAAAAGGTTTACTGCTCACAGCGACATGCTTGGTGATTTTTTTTTCGATTACACGGCAGACACACGCACACACACCACTACACATGCAACACCTTGCTTACACCTCCGTGAATACTTCTCCTAACATAAGCTCAAAGAGATGAAACCAGCCAGGAGCAAAGCTAGAAAAAAAAATCATTGGGGTCACTCTTCACCTACCATGGTGCAAATGCTTAATTCTAAGAATGATTTATTAGTTCCAAGCATATTTAGTAGTGTAATTAGCAAAAATATTAACTATACGGCAATGTTATCAGTATCCCGATACGTATTCTAGTATCTTACGATACTACGATCTTACCAAACCGAAACGATACCGATCCCACCTAGTATCCTAATTTTCATAGTATATCGATCCTACTATTCATTACTACATGATCATATGAAATCTTAGGTGGTATCCCAATTCTACGATCCCTACGATACTACAAAATATTATTTAAAATAACATGGTTTGAAAATAGTGTAACTAAATATGCTCAAATTTATATAAAAATCAGTTAAATATATCAAAACCAACGTGGTTTCTCTTGATAAATGTCTCTATTTACATGACATATATCATTACTATATTTTTTATATAGAATGGCTATATATAATTAATATAAGTATTAATTAAATTTTAAAAAAGAAAATCTCATAGCATCCCAATACTACGATACGATATTACTTTGAGCAAAACGATACTACCTAGTATCCCGATCCTGACAACCTTGCTATACGGTGGATCCGCCCCTAAAATTAGCGGTACATTCATGATCTTACCAACACCTTGCTCACATCTCCATGAATCTGCCCCTTAACACAAGCTCAAAAAGATGAAAAACAACGATATCCTTATCAAGAGATGAAAAACAACAGTACATTCTTGATCTTACTAAAATCTTATTAAAAGTACACTTGTATAAACGTAATATTCGTAGGTAATAGAATTTAAACCTTGGATGGTGGAGTCATGGACCCACGATTTCACCACTGACCTTAGGACCTTACTGGTGCGCCCCCGACCCTGCTTGGTGTGTGCTCTTAGCTTGCACTTTCAAATCAAAGTAATCATCTTTTGTGTTGAAATGTTCTGTAGTTCAACATGAAAGTTTTGAAGCCAGTTAAAAGTTTTACTCCCTCAGTTTTAAAATATAACAACTTCTTGATATATTTTAGAACAGAGGTTGTATATGATTAGGACGGAGGTAGTAAATGATTAGAGTTGAAAGTTTTGTATGGAAGTGCTGTTAAAATGGAAAAGAAGTGTGCGCTGCCCAGAACTGGTAAGCATAATGCAGGCCTGGTCACCTGGGCCGGCGACCCAATGTGGATGTTGATGCTAATCGCCTTCAGGTTAACGTTTTCAGGTTCAGCTAACACAAGGAGACATTCAGAGTTTCAGACACCAGCAGGGGTAACGTAAATTGAGCGCTCAAAGTCTCAAATGCAAATGCAGTCATACAGATATATACTACACTGCCATCGGTTATTCTCTGGAAAAATATGTACATCAGTGGAGCAACAAGGGTTGCCGCTATGTACAAAAATGCAACACCTCCCGGCCTTCTTATTTCAGGTGACCCAGCGGACGAACGACTCCTTACACCTTAACTCCGATCCTTTCTGCGACCTGCATAGCAATCCAGATTTGATGATGTGAGCTTGGTTCTGAACAAAGAGAGACAAGTAATAGAACAGCAACTTTGGCATTAAATGGACTAAAACAAGAAGAGAACTATGATTGGTTTGTTTGTATCTTGCAGTGTTGGAGCATCTGAAAATTTAAGGTATGTAGTTTGTACCTCCTTGAAAGAGTAAACATCACTGCCCCAGAGCCAGGCATCACAGCCTGCATCCCTGGCTCCCCAGAGATCATTCCTGCGGTCATCACCAATATGCACAGCTTCTTCAGGCTTCACACCTAAAAACTCGCAAGCCTTCAAGAATATTGTTGGGTTTGGCTTTTCCGCAGCAACCTGTTGATATAGGATCCAGAGACAAGAACAGTAAGTCAAGGACCAGCCAGGGCTTGGACATTGGGCCAAGCTAACCGGTTCATCTGAAAATGGAAACCCACCTCAGCAGATACAGCAACTGCATCAAACCAGTGATCACAATTCAGGGCCTGTAAAAGTGGCCGAAGACGTGTGTCAAAGTTGGATACAACAGCTGTTTTTACACCAGCCTTTCTCAATGCTTCAAAAACATATTTAGCGTCAGGGTCGCAGAGCTGCCAAGCCTAGCAAACATGAAGAACTTCATAAGGTATATATAGCATGTAAAAGCAAAAATTGAAACGATTATGATTGCATAGTTTATCTCACCTTTGCAGTTGTATAGTACTGATAAAGTTCCTCAAAGTACTGTAAATCTGAGCATCCAGTTGAAGAGCTAACTATATGCTGCCAGAAGGGCCTACCATCATCCACATACCTGGATATATTGAGAAGCATTTTAGTCCATGCAGCTCAGATAAATTTGAAGGATAAGAAAGGTAAATATGGTTGAAATATGAATCTAGAATGTGAACAACACAATCACATATCTGGAAGGCTGCAACTCTACCATGGTTATATCTCTATTCTATTTTGGTAACGCAACAATCAGAGTTCAAGGAGGCACGTGAATGCACTGGTTAGATAAAAGGTCCATAAGAAAGAATAAATGCACTTGTACTGCCTATCACCATCAACCAAATATGTCAAGAAGAATTAGATGCAGATGATTGTCCATACTTATGTGTGCTTTGCAACATAAAACCAGGTCAAGAGTTTCACTAGTCAACCGTATAGTGTCTAAACTCTAAACCACACACACAGAGAAAAATTATCTGTATTTGATCTGAATACTGCCTATAAACGTAAGATGAAAATTCATTTCCCCTCTTCTGTCACCAAGATATAACTCATTCCCGAAAATTGGTTAGTTCCTGAATATCAATCTGAAACATTGATTGTTCATAGAATTATAAAACAACAGTTCTTGAAAGGTTCTGTTTGGCATCACGGTAACAATTTTCTTCAGTTGAGGTTCAGTTTTGATAGAATTTTTTCGTCAGAAACAAGATGGAAGTTTTCTATCCCGCAATTTATCATATTGTTGAACGATTCACTCTATTTAAAATCTTTCATGCTTGTATGCCTGTTGGATGCTCATATTTTTCATCTTTCATGAGTTCGTACCACTTGAAGATCAAATTTGCATGTGCCCACAAGAGCAAATTCTCTGTTACGGAGTAGATAGAGGGAGTCAGGGAATATCATGTTGATAGTTTGAAAAGACCAACTTGTGCTGACTGAGTGACAAATATTAAGTTGGCAGCCGCGCTGCTTCTGCATGACACAAACCTTGTTTAAATCGCACAAAAAGCATTAATATACGACACGTCAACAACCATTTGAGTAAGGATTTGACACACTATAATGCACTCGACAGTGATAGCATAATGTCCCACAACCAGACGCTATTCTAAAAATCAAATCATCAAAATCACAGGAACAATAAAATCACAAGGCCATCCAAGACACTGCAAAAACTAAATCCAAACCTCACAGTTACAGTAGTGATGCAGAACAGTAAAAGCAAATTATATGATGTACCTCAGCCGCGATCTACCCCATGGCTGCGCATAAGCCCTCCTGTATCTCATCAAGATCTCATCCTCTGAGTAGTTGACTCCATACTTTTCGCCAATTGTTCTGTATACCTGAACAAACACCAGGACATCAGGAGTAAGCCACATGAAGAAGACATATTCCATATGCATAATTGCGCACACATATCCCAGCATCGCAAAAAGAGAGCTTTTTTTGTTGCCAGCCCATTATGTACGGAACAAATCCACCCAAATGACAAACTTGAAGAACACACAAATAGATCTCACTAAGTCTGACACAATCCAAATCGATCCATAGACTTGGATCGGATAGAACATCAACACTGCAACAGATCAGATCGATGCACTGTTTAATCGCGCACATGACCACAGAGATTGTCGATTCGTCACACTTAATGAATATAAATAATGAGTGGTGTGTAAGATCAAAATCCGCCTAGAAACACTGAACTATTGGCATCCCGCGGAATGGAGGCGGCCGCATCACACACACACACACACACACACACACACACACACAGAGAGAGAGAGAGAGAGAGAGAGAGAGAGAGAGAGATGCGACATGCAGATGGGGGAGGAGGCGAGCGGACCTGCGCCATGGGCTCGGTGGGGGCGAGGAGCGTCCCGGCGGCGTCGACGAGGATGGCCTTGTGGGTGATGTCGCCGTAGATGGCCCTCCGGTAGTCGTAGTACTCCCGCGCCCCCATCGGCTCCCACCTCGCGATCCCCGCGGCCGCCTCCGCCGTGGCCGTCCCCATCCACCTCCCCTCCCCACCACCACCACGTCCCACCGCCATCGCCGCCGGCCCGACCACGAGCCTTGCCCCCGCCGACCTCAGCCGCGCCGCCACGGCCATTGCCCACCACTCACAGCCTCTCCTCCTCCGCCGTTGCCGCTCGCGCGGTGCAGTGGTGCGCGCGCGCGCGCTTCTTGACCGGTGTCGCGTGCGTGTGTGTGAAGGAGGAGTTTGAGTTTGTGTTCTTCGTTGGTTTATAGGAGGAGGAGGAGTGGTGAGTTGGAGAGGCGACGGCGAGGATGGTGGTGGCGATGGCGTCCGTTGGTTTGGTTGGTTGCTCCTTCTCCCTCGGTTTCGGTTTTCTGTTTTTGTGCTTAGCCGTTTCGAGGAGGAGAGGATGAGAGGACTGGCTACAAATGGCAAATTCAGTACAAACAGGGGGCTCCAAATGGGAAAAAAAAGTTTACATATAAAGTTTTTCTTGCTAACAAAACATTGAGTAAATTTACATTTTCTTTACTGTAGTTCAGTTAGATCTAACGGTTAAGAGTTAATTTGAGAATGCTAATTAGGTAGACTAATTGGCTGGACTATTCGTTCATTTTAATGTATGTCCGTTTAATCTGTGCATGCATGGTGGATTAGGACTTATGTTCAGTTCTTAGAATAATATTAAATAGGGGTATGCTATTAAATAGGCTAGAAAGTTTTTTTAAGTAAATTTTACTTTAGGCTATTTTTTTATTACCGATGTTTCGCTTTGTTCACTCTTCAAACAGTGTTTTCACTTTAGACCGGGTAATCTTGCTTTTGTTTTACTGTATCGGGCATATGAACGACCTCGAGAACGTCGGCTCCTACTCGTTAATAAACTCCCCGGTTATATATATAGACCATTTTTTTTAACATATGACAAATTAGATTATTTTTTTAGATAATGAATAGAATACCATCCCGACATTTGCTCAACGAACTACAATCAATAGCAAATTAGATGTAGATAGATAAAATAGTTGAGGATGGTTTAAAATGTCACAAAGATAAAATTATCTAATCTAAAATGAAAACATTGGTTGAAGGGTGATCCAAAGAGAAACATTGATAATAAAAGGTGACTTAAAGTAAAATTTACTCTTTTTTATTTACAACAGTTGTGGTATTACTACTACCTTGTACATTTGCATTGGTATTTGGCAGGCCTTCAAAGCATACACCAATCAAGGAAAAAATATCATGTTAGTTGATTTAAGCATCTTGATGCAATAGCGTTTTATGGTAGTAATATAGCTCAACTTAAAATTTACAATGACTGCTAGGTAAGCAGTCTGAAACCTGAACTTTCGGCTCAGCTGCTCAGGGGAGGTTAACAGAGAGTAGGATTAAAGTTGGTTTGCATGTCTACTCAACTGCAACTTGCTTTTGGTAATGATGATACTGGTTGGAACCGAATGTGCACCCATGTTAGTTTAAGAAATCATTTCACCTAATCACCTTTTTCCTTAGGTATGTTCCAATCATAAACAATCACACTTGACTAAGCTAAGACGACCCTGACCGTTTTTATTCAGGTAAAGCCTCAATCAGTCGCCACAGAGCCAATGGTTTCTCATGTCCGTTTGGTCGTTTTGTACATACGTGGATGTCCCGTAGCGTTGGTGATGGATCGCCAAAGCAAAGCTATCACGATTAGTTTAATTAGGGACGCTGCCACGGTGGTTTTAGTGGTTAATTCGGTGTTTTATTGGCCTGTGCCCATTGATTCGTACGAACGTACCCACCGAATCTTTGGTCCATTCTGTTGGAGTTTACACGCATGACGCATTAGGGAGAAGAAAATGGCTCGTAGAACATCAGCTGCTTACTCAGCGATTCATCTTGTTCTTATTATTATTTTACATGATCAGGTCTTCCATTCCAAGCTTCTAATGCACGGGGCAATAAATCTGGTTATCACACAGCAGCACTAAAACTTTGGAGTTATTTTCCTGATTAATTATTAATTCATCAGGAACAATAATATACGTGATCATCAATCGATCGAACAATCACGCACCAGTTTCCGCGAGAGGAGATTGGATTGGGTTTTGGGGGTTTTGGCCACGTTAGTGCCCATGCAGAATATTTCTCGACGCTTGGGTTGAACGGCATGGCATCCCGATCGATCAAGTTACGCCACGCCAGCCGCCGCGATGTCACGTACGTACCCGACACGTTAGCACGTACGTTAACGCCATTCCGATCGAATTCCCGGGTTCTTTAGCGGTTTAGCCGCGCGCTCGCGCACGGGACGTACGCTCGCCTCGCGTGCCGGCCGGCTCGTTCGATCTCCACGCGCCGCGCGGCCACACGGATCACGCGACAGGGCCCGGGAAGCGCACGCACGCACGGCTCCAACTTCCCGGGGACGCACAAACCGCACAGCCCGGCCAGCTTATCAAAGGTAGTATGGTAAGTCAAAAGAAAGTGTGACTAATAACAAGTCGTTGGTCACGAGAGTGACCAATCAAACACATGCCTAACAAAAATATGCTTTGTCTAACATGTGACGTGGTAAACTATGGTAGCGAACCAAACAACCCCTTTAATCTCGATCGCGTCACGGTTTGTACAGGACTCGGGAAGCGCCGCACGGCCCCAAATTCCGCCGCGCGGGAGCTTGGAGCGTGTGAGTGTGACGGGATCGATCGGCGCAGTTTGATTCATGAGTCATGACCAAACTGGGCTGATCCTTTGCCCGACTTTTGTCAGGAGTGGCTCTAAGGCATAAAGGCATAATGCGAACGTACGTATACACCGGCACAATACAAACTTCGCCGCGCGATTTTCAACTGTGCAAAAACGTGATGCTCTCGTAGTCTGGTGTTTGAATCGGGCATGGAGTAATCGACGATCTCAGCAAGTGTAGCTTAGCTAAGAGGAACAGCTTCTGTTTTAGTTGAAGGTCCATCATATCGGAGCATAGAATCTTCGCATTGGAATCGTGTGGCTGCGACGACGCGAGCTTGCACGCAAATTGACAGCTGAACGAGAGGGAATCATGTGGACATGGCGCGGTGAACGGAAACAGCTTAGCTAGCTAGCTCAATCAACTTCCTGCTTGAACCACACGGCAAGCGGGTCTTTTTCACAACATTACAGCAAAGTGCATATGCTTAGGGTGTGTCTAGTTCCTGAAAAAAGTTGTAAGTTTGAAGAAAGTTGGGAGTTTGAAAAAAAAGTTGAAAGTTTATGTGTGTAGGAAAGTTTTTGATGTAATATGATGTTGATGGAAAGTTGGGAATAGGGGGAAACTAAACACGGCCTTATTATCCCCAGTTCTTTATTACCTTAAATATAAATACCATATTTGAAAAATATAAGCACTTTTAAGAGTTTTAATAGAAACTGACGTCCAGGGAGACATAGTTGTGATTGGTGAAGATGGGAAAGTTGATAGAAAAATGTTTATAATGGAATACATATTTTAAGTTTCGGAAATGCTTATACTGTTTTGGAACAGAAGGAGTATGCGAATATATCTAGCTTATGAGCTTGGCAGTTGACATTGCTTACATTGTATAACCACAAATAAGCATCGAAATCTTTAGAGGACAAATAGTATGACTGATCAGGTGGTGTTTGAGATAGATTAAGATGAAAATGAAATTACGCAACACAAAACAAAAAATCCATTAGCGCATGAATAATTGAGTTGTAATTATTATAAACTTAAAAAATAGATTTATTTAATATTTTAGGGTAACTTCTGTATATAAAGTTTTTATAAGAAATACACTTTGGAAAGTGTGCTTATAGAAACCGAAGTAAAATCTACATCTTAATCTTAATGATTCAAAGTAAAACACCTGCTCATATTTCTACATAAACATGTCTAGTGTGACAATGTCTTTTTCACCGTGGAGAAATATGCACCGGTTGCAGTTACTGCATGGAAAAAGTATGCAAGCGACGAAGCATATGACCGACTAATACTTTTTCATACTAGTGAACTGTTATTGTTTCAGCACTGAATTAAATCTCAGATAAATCATCTGCCACTCAAATCAGTGGTCCAAATCAGCCATGGAGCATGAGGAGGACCGCGGCTGGTGGAATCCGTCAACGTCGCGGCTGAATTTCGTGATCAAATTCTTTGAGGAGAAATGGATGACATGTGGATGTGAGCAACCCAGATTCGAGGCAGACAGCGAAAAAAAGAACTGGATTGCACAAGTGGCGCAACATGCCTTTGCCTTGTCCCTGGACAACGCAAATGAGCTGCTGCCTGTTGCTTTGTTAAGTGAGGCCATGGATGATTTAGCCTGGGCTTTCCAGGGCCCCAGCTCTCCAATAAGCATATGTAATTCCTATTACTCCATCTGGTTAAAAAGTATATGATATTTCAGATAAAATTCAATCAAAATTTTAAAACTTCGACTATCAATGAATTTATATTTTTTTAGCTATATGTTCATAACTACTAATAGTATAAAGTACTTTTTCATGAGGAATCCACTAGTATTTTTTTTCACACGACAAATGCTAGTAATACATTTAGGAATACATATATATCCAAAGTTTACCTGCATACACCTAAAACATGTACTCCAATACTGAGAATGGAGGCAGTACAGTCTACAGACAACATACAGGTACATCTCTCTAGTAGTACCAAGTTCTGGATTCGACCAAGCGAGTATAGATTTGTTCAAGCAGCGCAAATCGTAACGAACAAAAAATTCAACATACGGGGCAAGGAGACTAGATACCGAACTCCAATTACGGATTATCAATCAGAGGCAACCTACTAGATGAAATATCAGCATCCAGCAAACCGTTCCGTGTGGAGCTGACCAAGATTTAGCAGGTCAACGCAGGCTTATAAACATTATGATTCAACAAATATATCGGCGTTAGATAGAGTTTCTGGTGGGACAAGCGCCAGGGAGACCAGTTGCTTCAGAACTCCAAGATCTCAAGGCGAGATCTTCCCAGAGAGGAGTTGTTGCCACCTGGTCCATATTACAGTTCGGCATCACCTAACTGGTCTGCAAAGTTTGTAAGCAAATGCATTTCTTAGTAATTCATGAGTAGGAATTAAGGACGAGTCTAATAGCACTGCTTAGTAGTATGAACAAAGCAATGATCCAGAAAGATTTAAAATTAGTGGACGTGAAACAAATACTACTACTATGAAGTAAGATTGTTGTAAGGTAGTGAGTGTAAACACCTTCTGCGAGACACACGTCTCATTGGAGCACTGTCTTCTGAGTCTTCCGGTTCTCTCATTTTATTTATCCTTGAACGCGACACGCCTGCATAATGCATGGAACAGATTCCTTGAGAAACTGGATGTGTCATGCGAATATCAGCAGTGCAACCATCTGTTACCTTTGCAAGAAGTTCTCGCTGA